AATTTTTTGCTAAACTCATTGGTTTTAGATTTCATAGAGGTATTTTTAAGCATATCTCTGTTGCTGTGATGTTACCATTCTACAGGAGACAGTTTAAAATCTGTAGCAGCAATGACAACATTTCAATGTAGTTTTTTTTTGTTACCATTTAGTAACAAATTTTTTCTTTTGTTTAAATATTTTGTTGTATCCTTGCAACAAAATGTTGACTGATAGAATGTTAAAGTTGCCAGTGGAATCTAGATTCTGAATTCGTCTAGCCGTTGTTGCTGCAATGACGCCGGTAGTGTGAAAAGATTGTATGGTGTGATGTGATTTTTTGACGAGGGCTTGAAGGCCGGAAAACTCTCTAAAGTGTGTATTATCGTTTTCTAACTTTATTGCAAATCTGTATGATAGAAGAGTTTATGAAGAGAAGAAAAAAAAAAACAAAGACAGAAACAAATTCATTGGGCTTTTGAATTTTTCTTTTGCTATTTTTTATTTTACAGTTTAATTTTTATCTTTTGAGAATTCTTCTAAATTTTTTTGCAAATAAAAACTCTAAATAATGAGCAAAAAAACTATGTTAACTTAAATATATTTGTGCATTGTGCAAAGCAGTTCTATAAGTAAACAATTCCAATTAATTTTGAATTCTGAATTGTTAAACATTTTTTTGACATTTATCTTAACATTATTGTCATCGAGGGAAACTTATCGAGAAATACTGATTTTTTGTAGTTTTTGTTTAAAGTTTATTTTTTATAGAAGTTATTTGGTGATGAATCCAAAACAGTGCAGTAATTAATGTTAAAGATTGTTTTGCTGAATATTTCGATAGTTTCCTGTATTAATTAGCCACTTTTTTTTAAAAGCAGTTATAAAACTGTAACGGGTGAACGACATATTTTTGACAAAATCTCTAACTTTTGTAATATGTAAGAGGTAAAAAGACTTAAAAGGCAAGGAACAAAACTGATGAACAGAAAAAGACAGGAGATATTTTTCAACAAATTCTTTCTTAATCTGAATATTAGTTTTTGAATCTAAAGGGTTTTACTGTAAAATTTGATGCCTTATCATTAAAAAAAAAAACGAATTTTTGAGGCGAGCAAGAATAAAGTTGTATCAAGATTCTTGAAGTTTATTACTCTCCTTGCTGTAGTTGGTGAAGCCATTGTTTGATTAGTTCAAGACAGGCGCTTGGAAGCATGAGTCAAACTTTGAACGTTTCAAATGAGAACAATGGATAAGAAAGTTGATATGAACTCAGTTTACAACGCTATTCTTTCTTTTTTTTGTTTATGTTTCCAACTATCAAAATCCGTTAGTATCGCCTGTGAACTTTTTTACTGTTTGGAAAAAGTATAACGGCGGTAATGAAGGTGACAGTACTCCACATGAAGCACTCTGCTAGCTGGATATCTGACACTGAACTGTTCGAAATCACACTGAATATTCAAACTATTTCTTTTCTTAAAATTATCATTTATTAGTGTTTTGAAACGTCAGATATTAGGCGACTTTTGAATTGTTTAGCACAGTTGACTTCGATTTTCAACTACTTGTCTTACTTTTATAATCCTGATCAACTGTAGCTTTTTGGCTTCTTAGGTTATTCACCAATTGTATCCAACGGTGAACTGAAAGCTTAGAAAAACTTGTTCTTAAACAATTTTTGAACAACATCACTCTTTGAACTGTACGACAAATTTGGGATACGGAACAGATTTTCTCAGATATATAAGTTATGTTTTGTACTTAATGGAAAGTCGTTTTATGTTTTTTAATCACTTCAAATGCAAAAAAGACATAATTTTGCATATTTTTTAAAAATGTTTAGTGGTTATCATCATTCTCAATTCTGCTCATGTTTTAAGCTCGAAAAAAAAACTAACATAATGTTATTATCCGCAGTCTTTTCTAACTATACATAACCCTCTGTAAAAGTGTCAATCGGTTTCAACAACGTGCGTTTTACTATTAAAACTGCTTAGGGACTTTTGTGCAATGGTTTTTAATCAACGGATAGATAAGAAAAATCTCTTTAAACAAAATCTTTGCAAAAGTATTGTTTTTCGACGGTGGCATTGCTCAATTGATGTCATCGACTGAATGTCACCGGTTTTTCCTTTTTCTCTTTACGCAAGGCGATTATCACAAAAGTCTTTGGAATTCGCAATATTCTAGCTTTCTAGAAGACTTACAAAATGTTCTTTCAAAATACGGTGGCTTAACTTGCTCGCTTTCCACCTTTTTGTTTTTGTCTTTTATAACTTTTATTAAACCAAGGGTAAGTTTAGGATACTCATTGGAAAATATAGACTGAAAAATTTTTTTGGGAATTTGCATATGACGGACATTTGGTCTATGAGCAGCAGTTTGATGTAAAGGAAAGAATGGAAAAGCTGTAGAAACAATTATTTTTGTATACAATGACCGTAAAAATTG